TGTTTATTATTCAGTGCTGATCTTTTACATATTTACAAAGCCAGCATGCACCCAGTGTACACTTGTATGCAACGAACTTATTTTCATCCTTTATAATTGGAAAACTATGAGATTTCGACATGGATTATGTAGCGATAAGATTTTACATTGAAATCGCTCACTTTGAATTTGAACACTGGTATCCATTCATAAACATCGTACCAATTATATATCTTATTTACGTGTCGTTGTGCAAGGCGTAAATCTTTTTCACAATGCTTAAATCTATATATATATATATATTCATCGTTTCTCTTTCTCTCTTTGGGCTTGGTGCATTCTTTTTCATCATTATTTTCAATTTTCCATAACAATTTTTGTTCGTCTCTTCTTTGTGTCTGCTTTGGTACTCATGACAACATACAGTGTAAGTATCGATGTGAGTGTCGTATGCACGATGTAAAGTGTATATATGCATATCCTTTAAGCGATCCAAATGCTGATGCGTAAGCCGAGAAGAAGCTGGAACAACAAAAGGTTTGTCTATTTTGTTTTTCATCGTCGTCGCCGTAGTCGTCGTCGCCGTAGTCGTCGTCATCGTATACATTTCGCATTTTGATGTATTGACGTGAATTCTATGGTGCTATTCTTTGTGAATTCTATCATTATGGTGCTATTTTTATAGTCATTTCGTTTTATGCTTATGTAATCTAGCAACACGCGCGTACACGTTACTTGTTTGTTCGTCGTTGTCGTCTTCATTGTTGGTGCTGCTACTTTTTACAAAGAATTCCATATGAAAACACACACAGACGTTCATTCATTTTACATATAGCGATGAATGGGCCATATCGCTTCACTGGCTAGAACTATGGAAATGTCAGTAACGAAGAAAAAAAAACGGCCAAAATGCAAACAAAGGCAGCAAAACAAATGTGCTCGAGTGTCTGATGGATTTGAGCAAATCCATTTTCGTGCCTCGCTCCTTTTACACAATAAAAGTACAACAGCAAAAAAAAAGTGAACGCTCATCATTCGAACATGTGTGGAATTAAAAGTCTCTCTCTACATTGTGTACTTGAACCTAATATTAAACTATAGATAAAGCGCATACGATCAATATTGAGATGTGAATTCAGAACGGTTCGAATCGGTTTTATTATGCTGGCTTTCACTCTAACTCATCAATTTCTTGTGTCAGTTATAAAAACAGATGTGTCCAAATAATGTGTTTTTATATGTATATAATCCTTTTTTTGTTTTTTGTTTCATCGTCTAGTGTCCGCAGTCATCATCATCATTTTCCTTTGCCACCAAGATGAAAATTCGTAATGTTTGTCACATATTTATTGGTGGCGTTTGGTTAGATTTGGCCAATGGTTTAAGTTTATAGCACTGTATATCTATTCTAATTCACCTTATTTATTATCGTTGAAGGCGCCAAAATACAGAACAAGATGAACCGATAAACAATGGCAATATTTAATTTAAGTATCACAATGTGCCTTTCCACACTATATCAAATGCAACCGCAAAGAGACAAAGAAAGATATGGCTATGATATACGAGCTCGTTAATGGCCCCTTAAAACAGAGACCGATGCTGCAGAAGCTGAGAATGAACTCAACACAAGAAACCCCGTACAATAATCATTCCACTGTCGGGTGCCAATGTTTGTACAATGTTGTTGAATGAATATGTGTGCTTGTGTTTGTCCGATGGACACTCCAAACTATTTTGATCAACTGATTAAAATCCAAGAGTCCATTGCAAGTACAACAACACATTTGAAAATAACGTACACAATGACTTTAGTCGACGTCAACCGACCGAATGTATAAATTAACATGGGTCAGTGTTGAAAACCAATTTTATCTTTATATTGCACAAAAACTTTTTGCCTTATAAAATACCCAGGCTGTATCAGTCCATAAATCTGTTATATGTATAGATGTGTAAGCTTACCATTTTACGGGTTTCCATATCCACACTTCTGTTCGAATGAGAGCGAGACTCGTGTTTTTCATCTTTCTCATGATTTTATTTATTATTTCTTTTTTGGTTTGTGTCATGCTAATGAAAAGTTAGCAGACAAGCCATTCAAGCGGCTAAGTTAATTAGTATCCTGTGATCCAGACAAAATGCAACAAATCGATGCTCTCTTGAATAAGATACAATGCACTGGGAGAGATTGAGATTGAGCGAGAAAAAGAGAGAGAGAGAAAGAGAAGTGAGCTATAACTCAAACAAGACATCTCTATCTCGGGATTTTAAGTGCTTGTTCATCTTTTGGCCAAAGCTCAAATTTCTTATTTATGACTGTGTCATATCATCTCGTTCATTCAATCGAATTGAACATAACGTTCGGCGCACAAAGCAATAATTTTATGTGCATATATTTTGAAATCTAGCTTAAATTGATTTTGTGTTGCTTTTATGTTGTGGGGATCAGTTATTTAATTTGCAACGCATTCAGCACACAAGATGAAAAGATTTTTTGTTTTTTGGTTGTTGAATAACAACGTAATAGAAAATATTCAGAGACAGCAACACAAGCTTTTACATGGATTCAGACACAAGCAAATCGAACCACATGGAAATATTTTCATGTCGCTTTGCTGGATTACATCTATTTTATATGTATATGTAAAACAAAAGGCCAAACAATTTTATCGATTCATCAAATTGTATGCATCAAAAGTCAAGTAAATTTAGATTATGGCTAAAAGAAAGTCAAAATCTAATTTTTTATGCTTTAAGATGGAAACCGAAAAGGTTTGTAGATTTCCACAGAGACCTTTCCAAATATTATATAGCCATGATAAAGATTTCTCCTTTGTTTTGTTTGTTTGTTAGCCGGTAATAATCAAAGTAACCGAATCGAAATGGTGTTCGCTCAATGTAGGTTTGCATATATGTGTTTGAGCATCCCCCAATGGATCAAGTGGAAAAAGCAAACAAATTTATTGCCTATTGAATGTATATAGTGCGGTTGTTTTTTTTGCTGAACGATCGCGACATGTACACCCGACAATAAAGACATAAAATGTACAAACATAAACCCAAAATGTCGTCCAGAGACTATATAATGTACAGTGTCCTATATCCATGGCACAAAAATCCATATACCAATTAAATGAAAATGATTCGATTTTTACTTTCCAGACAAGAAACATTCGGCAAGAATCAAAGCCATTTGACATTGACTTTCAATATATCGTATGGTATTTTTGGCAATAACATTTGCCTAAATCACTCTCGCATCGAATGGTATATTACTTAGTATTCATTAAACCAGTCGAGTGTGTATATCAAAGCAAATACTCTTATTCGAAAACAATTAACTAAATGAGATTCGTTGCAAATTACCATTGGAAGCGGCGAAGAATGAAACAAAGCATCAAATGACTGTTGGCATGTGCTGAATCAATTGGAAGGCACGCCAAATGTGTGTCTCAATCCAAAAAGCAAGAGGAACGTCTAAGAAATATTGATTTTATAGGCTTGGATCAAATGGGAACAGGCCACAAATCGTTGAAATAGAAAGTATAGTAAGCATTCAATTTATTTATTTTTATTCTTCAAACACTAAGCCCAGTTGGGTTTGTGTTTATTTTTTTGTTTATGTATGCTGTGTGATGTGCTGCTTTTGTTTTTCGCATAGTATGCGGCGCATACACTACCTTTTATGTGTGCAAGCAAAATAGCTGTGGAGATGCTATATGTACCTCTATCAATGACCTTTGTCACAGCTTGTTTTTTCTATCAATTCCCGATTCTGTGCTTTCAACGTAACAACAAATACATAATATGGCACCAACAGTCGCAAAAACAATAATGCCGAATATGTATTGAATTTTATTTATATGGGAAATTCGGAACGAGAGACAAAAATCGTTAGCACATTCTTTTTTTTGGTTTTATCTCATTCGCTTTTCGGTTGAAACTTAATATATACGCTTCATGTTTCATATTTCTCTTTGGATTTTCTATGAACATTTTCATTCGATTTTATTTGGTTTGGCGTGTGGTGGTGCGGCATGAACTTTTTTTTTTCTTTTGAAAAAAGTTCGCTCCGAAAATGCACGAGTCATGCAAGTGACAAAGCAGAATGAAATGAGAGCAAAGTGCTCAATTTGTTACCAGCCACTTTTTAAACCGATGAGACGAGAACAAAACGAAAATGATGCTGCATACGTAGTAGGACTTCTAATTTTGTATAAAGATTTCGACAAAAAGAGCAGAAGAAATAAAAATTGAAAAGAAATGAAAACATTCAATATTACATGAGTTTTTCTATGTGCAAAAAAACATATCGGACAAATTGATGCCGAACGTAAAGTAGAATCGTTGTCTTCGTTTCGGTGTGTCTTCAGGGAGTAAGGACAACAACGAACTTTGAACTGGCATCACATCACACAATCATTTGCTAAAATTGATTTACGATTCTTAGATCGGTCGATTACGATACCCCATTCAGTGGTCGCGTCACCATTGCTTTTAAATGACAGCGAGTCGAGGTTGAAGAGAGAGAGAGAGAGAGAGAGCTAGAGAGAGAGAGAGATGAGAGCGACATCTGGCTCAGCGATTTAAATTTTTTAATAATTCAAACAAATGATTTTCAAACACGACGAGCAGAATTCACAAGAAAACACAATTTTCTGAAGTCGAATAAGAATTGTTCGTTTATTATGAAGCATAGCATGGCATGAATGAATTCCATTTCAAAATATGCTGATGCTTATGGATAATTCAATTTGATTTGTGCGTTCGAACGATGGCGGCAATTTATCATATCGAATTAAATGACATAATATTTATGCATGTTGCAGTTCAATGTGATACTCTATTAAAATTAGTCATTGTTAAGTTGAATTGATTTACAGAGAAATGTTATAGAAAGTGTCACAATTTTCCGTGCGTCTCCAGCATTTACAGGCAACGTGCTGGATTTCAATCGACTGAATTGTATTCAACGTTTGTTGAAAACGATTGAAAGATGTTAAGTGAAATTAATGTACCTTTTGAACTGGAATCATCATGGCGCCACCGTTTGGATTATTTACCGATGGTTGTCGCAACGGAACGCATCCTACATTCAAGTTGATTGCATTTAATTGCGATTGATTTGAGTGCGATTGCAATGTGTGATTATTGTTTGTGGTTGGTGGCAATCCGCTGGTCGCTTGATGATGACGTGTTTGGGCTTGGGTCTGTTGTGTTGGCGGCATTTGTTGATGGGGTTGTTGATGTTGTGCCGCCACTAACGATCCAACATTTGTTAAAGCCTGTTGACCTAAGTTCATGTGATTCGGTGTCGGGCTTATAAAAGTTCGCAACGATAGTGGTGTGAACATTGCGGCGGCTGCCGGATGATGGTGCTGTTCGAATGTAAAAGAAATTATGAACAAAAAAATGAAATGCGTTTCAATAATTTTCAAACTAATGTCTTCTAAAATGGACTAGAAAACAGAAACTGTCTGCAAACAAAAACTGAGCAAAGTAAATATATGTATGTGTTACCTGTAACTGTTGATGTAGGGCTGCCGTAGCTGGATGCATTTGATGAGTTTGATAAGTTTGATGATGTGACGGTGTGTGTTGTTGCTGTTGATGCTGTGTGGTTGGGCCGGCGGCAACTTGAACTCCTGGCTGTTGTGTCTGATGATGATAACCAACAGCTGCAACTGTTGGATGAAATGGAACAGCTAATGCCATCTTTTGTAATGGCACACCCCACGGCATATACCACGCCGAACCAGGATGATGTTGCATTTTGATTATTTTCACTTAATCTTTCTCAAAAAAAATTGTTCGCAAATTCTTTTTTTTATACTTTTTCAATGTTAATCTATATCGTTCTTACAGATTCGTTCTTTTGTTTCACAAACAAACAACAAATGCGCTCATATCAGCGAAAAACTTTAACAAAAGAAACACATTCACTGTATTATATTTGTTCACTGTATGTTTTGGCATGCATTCGCTTGCAAAATTAAATAATTTTCTTTACAATGATTTTTACAAGTCTTTCTGAATTTTCGGATTTTTTCTTTCGATCTAGCTTGAAGCCATGAATAAATTAAAGATTTGAATCACAATCCGAATGTATAGTTAATAATTCAACGGGCTATTCACTTAAAACTTTCCAGACACACATTAACAAATGAACGAAGAAAAAAAAGACGACTGGAGAAGTGTGGAGTACGATGATTATATTCGAACGAATTGAAAATTGGGGTCCATGTGCTGTTGAATGACTACTATGGATGGTGCTGGTGTAGCGTCGATCCCATTAAACATTGCTAAATTTGCAAGAAATATTGATGTGCTGTTGTTTCCGTTGCTTTTGAATATCAGGATTATTTGAATTCCGTTTTCCTTTCTTGCAAGTTTTTTTACATGCCTACGACGGTTTTTTTATGATGTTCTTAGTGAAAACAATCTTTACGATTGCTGCATTCAAAGAAGAAAAATGAAAAATAACAAGAGTATAAACATAAAGAAACAATTTTCATATTGAAACATTTATGAAGGCAATCGCCTTCATGATGCCATTGTACCCGAACATATACTTTCATACTGAGTGTGTGTGTATGTTTGTGTTTTTGCGAGCGTCTGCCTGTTAGATCGCTCAGCTCCAAATTCGCAATCGAAAATAGTAAATGCAATTTAAATACTCACAAAAACTGAATATCATTTCTGGAAATGTGTGTAATTTTTTAACAACATTTCTTCTTCAAGTACCTTCAACAACTACTAGATGAAGAAGCAAAAAAAAAAAGAAACCCGACAAGAATGAATGCAAAAAGTGAGCGAAAGTAACAAAAATAAAATGCGCTGTTTAGTACGTAATTCTCATTTTTATTATGATAATACAACGTGGTGATAATATTCTATTGTTACATTCCTTGATATATAATAACATTTTTCATTGTTGAAAAGAAGTGAGAAAGATGCGAATGTTTTTTTTTCTCTCTCATTCCTTCTCGCCATGCCAAATGTTTTATAAAAATATGCATGAACGTTTCTTTTACGACCACTTTTCGTCATGCATTTTATATAGCAAATGCGAGAACGCGTTATCATTTTGCCTCGGAAATTGCCGAATTCAAGTGCAGTTTTGTTTGCAGCCTTACGCCTTCATTCAAGTAAATAAGTAAATACGGCGCCATAAATTAAATTTGAATTTATTACGGTTGTTTCAAGGACAACAACACTTTTATCCAAATCCCTTGAATGTAATGCCAATGGACACTTAAAATCTTTGTAACGTAGGTTATATTTTTTTGTTACTTCGTGTTATTTATCGCTTGTAATTAACGAACCAGACGGAACATCATTACAAAACGTCGGAATTTTTATGTCGAATCAGAATTCAGACGATTCATTTACCAGAAACCGAAGATGAGTGGGATGTACAGAGAATTCGATTTCAAATGTCTTTCAATTAACAATAATTTTCGATTGGAATCCGTTTGATCGGCATCTCTGTACTGATTAAGTTCATTTAGTTATTCCATTGAAAACAACTGTTTTCCCCAATCAAAATGATACACTAAAAAACAACAAGAATATTGAATATTGAGAAAATTTGCTTCGTCTCCATTGCAATCAACGAATAAAACATTTTTATTCGGAGACATAAATTTGCAATCACAGCGTCGGTGTCTATCGCTTTTGTTATATTATTTACTACGAGAGAGATTTTGAATGTTCGAACTTAAAAGTTTTGCACAATCAGAGAACTGTATGAATGTAAGACGGACACAATGCTGTCGAATAAAATTGATAAATTCCCGAAACGACAGTAAAAAAAAATAGTTGAATATTATCTCCATGGAACTAATTCGCTGATTCACTTATTTTTCATCGTCTGTACCGCCACCAGAAAATTGTTCATCAACAAAGTAATGTGCGCAGTGGCGAATGAAAGAATTCAAGTTTTTTATGTGATTATCCCAAGAATGTGCTTCTTA